GCTGCCACTTCCAGTCCCTGAGAAAGCCACCTGGAACCTCATGAATTGAACCCACTAACACCAGTGACAATGTGTACTTTCCTGGGGCCCAATAACAGGCACACTTGGTCCACCACTACTACCACTGAGACATGGGGACAAGCAGACCTGGTATCTCCACTCCAAGAGACTTCACTACAACCTCCACTAACAACCCCAGTCAAAGTCATTGAGGAAATCGTAGAGATCACTGACACAGTTTACAGCCAAATAAATCACATGAAGACTACACTACTGCATACATTCAGAATCATAGCCAAAGTGCTCCATATACCCAACACTACAGATAGATCTTCAGGTAAAAGTTCTCCCTTACTAAAGTAAATTCAAAAAATTGAGAAAAACAATAGCCATTACACAAGCTGTACACATATCATCATAAGAATACAAGAAACATGACAAAACAAGAAAATATAACACATCCAAAGTGACATGATAATTATTGAGCAAGAAATTTCAATCAAAAAGAGAGTAATGCAATCCTGAATAAATCATTCAAAATAGGGAAATGTAAAAATCTCAGACACAAGACAATGAAGATAAAAAATAAAAAGAGGTTAGAAAAGTAATTAAAAATATAAATGAGAAACTTACCTAAAAGATACTATATAAAATAATCAAAAAGAAATTCTGGAATTAGAGAATTCATTAAATGAAATATAAATTACATTTGTAAGCTTCAGCAATTGACTACAACAAGCAGAAGAAAGAATTTCAGAACTTAAAGACAGGTCTTTTAAAATAACCCAATCAGCCACATATAAAGAAAAAATAATGAAAAAGAATGAACAAAGCCTATATTACATATGAGACACTATAAAGCAGCCAAATATTCAGTGTCCCTGAAGGTAAAAAGAAAACAACGAGTTTAGAAAAGCTATTTGACAAAATAGTAGCTGAAAACTTGCCGATCTATCAAGAGATTTAGGCTTCCAGATACAGAGATCTGATAGATCTTCAAACAGATACATGCAAAAAAGTCTTCTGCACAGCACATTGTAGTCAAACTGTCAAAAGTCAAAGACAAAGTGAAAATTCTGAAAACAGCAAGTGAAAAGTATCTAGTCACTTACAAGGGACCCTCATCAGACAACAGTGGATTTCTCAGCAGAATTTTTATAGGCCAGGAGAGAATGAAATGATATATTCAAAGTGCTGAAAGAAAAGAAAATATTACCAAGCAAGGATAATAAACTCTAAGTTGAGTAGAGGATTCAGGAAGCAATCTTGTTCTATTTCATTTGTTACCTATGTTATTACATTACATTGAAAATAGTGGCAAAAGCCACAATTACTTTTGCACCAACCTAATATTTGTGTTTGTAAAGAATCTGGATGTCCTTGGAGAAAGGCACCCCACAAAGTATGCCTAGTCATACCATCGTTTTTAAAGGATGGTGATAGCGATATTGTCAAAAGAGACAAAGCAAAATATTTTCAGCTCTACTTACACAAAGATTTGCCACAAAGTTCTGAAAAAGACTGAGGTCCCTATATTGAGTATGAAATAGCCTGTCAAGTGTGTGGGTGGCAATAATATGGGTTGAAGCAAGGCACAAAGAGGAGTGCAGCATTATCAGAGCCTGTGGGTAGAGCTTAAGGGGTTCTATGGGGAGGGTGTTTCTAGAGACAGGATGTCATTTTGTAATTTCGGGAGGTATAATTTTAAACTGCCCTCCCAGGATATGGACTAATGATCAGGGAATCATGAGAAATTCTGTGTTTACAAAGTCTCCATATTTTCACTGTTACACACTTTTATATTGTTTTAATATTATAGGTTCTTAAATCCCAATTTTTTTCATTCTTTTCCATATATATGATTTTTATCCTTTTTTTTCTGGACAAGTTATGATGGGTAGATAAAGCTCTATTACAATTAATTTTTATATCCCAGCACCTGTCACAATAACTGGGATATGATTATTATCCAAATCATATTTATGAACCATTATTAAATATTAGATAGTTGTCTTGAACATGTTCTTTTTTTAAGAATTGATTTCCAAACATATTACTAGTCTACAAATTGATAATGACTGTGCATGCATATAGAATGTTCAGTTAATGCTGCATTTCAAAGTTGTGCTTTCTCTCTCGAAGGAAATTGTTTAAAACAATACAGCTAAATAAAGAGATAAAATTTCATTTTTATTACTGTCATGGCTTATGCTCTAAAACACAAACTGAGCCAAGGCTGAAAAATATTGAATGAAGCCATTATGGAATATAAGTAAAGTTCAAAAATGAAGAGGCACTATTTTAGTTGTTATGTAATATGATTTAAGTGTGTAACTAGTTAATAGTTATTGGAAGAGCAAGAAGGGAAATGAGTTATAGGGACACTTCAAAGAAGACACCTGAGGCTTAAAAGATTGATATGTATAATATAAAACTGCATAACTGGCAGAGAATTCCAGGTAAGTGAATGAGCAAAAGTTCTAAAGAAGTAATATATATATAATGTATGCTTAGAAAATTGGGCATAACAGAACAAATAAAGGATTCCTCAGAAGTCTGTAAATTAGAAACATCCACTTGTTTGATTTCATTATAGCAAAAATGGATGTATCAAGAGATTTTGCATAGGAGGAGACCTTACCCTGATCTTCCTTGCTGAGAAATGAGCTGAGGAAACAATGTGACTAGTCAGTTACGACCATTGGGGAAAGTAAAGATGGACGGCTTCTTTAACCTTTCTCCCTATAGGAAAAAAACTTACCAGAGTGGTTGAATGAAGAAGGCAAATTCTCCTCTTCATGACAATCTTTCCTCACTGAGTGTGGGTTATGGAGGAGGGGCTGGGACCACAAAAATGACTCACACAGGTGATGGCCATGCCTTCTTTAGGTCCCCAAAGAATCAATGATGGTTTCAGCTGATGCTTGGGGTGTAATCAGGAGAGAGAAGTGTCCTAAAGGGAGGACACAAAATATCTAAACAACTGGTCTGTGTTAGTCAGTTTTGCATTGCTTTATAAAGAAATACCAGAGGCTGAGTAATTTATAAAGAGATTTACTTGGCTCATGACATTGAAGGCTACACAAGAAGCATGACACCAGCATCTGCATCTGGTCAGCATCTCAGGAAGATATTACTCATAGCAGAAGGCAAAGCAGGAGCAAGTGTGTCACATAGTGAGAGAGAGAGCAAGAGAGAAGCGGGGAGATGGCAGACTCTTTAAACAGTCAGCTTTTGCATAAACTAAGAGTGAGAATTCACTCATTACTTTAGGGGGAGAACCAAGCTATTCTTGACGGACCTGCCCCCATGACCCTAATACCTCTTACCCGGCCCACCTTCAACACTGGGGATCACATTTCATTATGACATTTGGAGAAGACAAACAACCAAACCACAGCACAGGCAAGCAAGAAAGCCAGTGTTACGGGATGAACTGTGTTCCTCAAAACTTATATTTTGAAGTCCTAACCCCTTGTAACTCAGAATATAACTAGATTTAAAAATAGAGTATTTAAAGAGGTAATTAAGTTAAAATAAGGTCATTAGAGTGGATCCTAAGAGAAAATTAGGACTAACATACAGACAAAGGGAAGACTGTATGAAGACAGAGACAGAAGTTAACCATCCATAAGACAAGGAAGGAGGCCTTAGAAGAAATCAGCCCTATTGACACCTTGATCTTTCACTTCTAGCCTTTATAACTGGAGGAAAATCAATGTCTGTTGTTAAGATTCTTAGTCGATTGTACTTTGTTATGGCAACCCAAGCAAACTAATTCAGCAGGTTCTCAAAAAAGGCCTGAGAGTTTCTTTCACTAAAGCCATTAGGAGAAAAAGAGATTGGTTGAGCCATGAGATTAATAAGGCCAGGTGTCCCCCAGGAGTAATTTCACATGCAAGGATACACAAAGACTCAAAACAAAGGGATGGAGAAAGATTTACTGACCAAATGGAGAGCAAAAATAAATAAATAAATAAATAAAAAGCAGGAGTTGCAATTCTCGTATCTGATAAAACAGATTTTAAAACAACAAAGATGTAGTGGTAAAAGGATCAATGCAACAACAAGAGCTAACAATCCTAACACCCAGATACATAGGGACTTAGACTCAATGAGACAGAAAATTAATAAGGATATCAAGGACTCAAATTCAGATCTGGAACAAGTAAACTTAATAAATATTTACAGAGCTCTCCACTTTAAATACACAAAATATACATTCTTGTCAATAACATATCACACCTACTCATAGGTTTAAATGAAACACTGATTGGCCATCATTAATACCCATTTTTTTTAGAATAAAGCAACATTTCCATTCTCTCTCCCTCTTTTTCTTCCTCTTTCTTCCTCTCCTTCACTCCTTTTTTTTCTTTCCTTCTCTCAAAAAAAGAAAAAAGAGAAATCAACTTGTAGACCTCTAGATCCAGGTCGGCAATGTCTCTCTCATTGCTTGATTTCCTTCCTTCCCTTCTCTTCCTCCCTCCCTCGCTCCCTCCCTCCCTTCCTTCCTCTCTCCCTCCCTCCCTCCCTCCCTCCCTTCCTCCTTTCCTCCCTTCCTGCCTTCCTCCCTTCCTCCCTTCCTAAAAAATAAAAAATAAAAATATAAAAATAAAAAATTGTGGTTGTCATTCAAAAAGTGGACTTCATTATGTAAGTAAGATTCAGACTTGGGATATCTAGATGAGATTCAGACTCTAGCTTTAGATGCTGGCAATGTAAATGGAAGAACTTCTTTAAAGAACTCATTTTGCAGTGTGAACCTTGCTAGTGGGAGAGTCTTAGTTAACAGAGGCAGTGGGATGCCACTCCTAGAGCAGGTCTCAGAACTTATAGACAAGTGTCATGCGCAATAGCAGTTAACATAAAACAAATGTTTTCCTCTCCTCCCACTTTTCCTGTACTAAAAAATAGAAACTGAAAACAGAAAGAAAGAAAACATTGTACAATGTTGGTAAAAAGGCAGTATTGGCAATAGCCCATACAGGAATAAATACCATGTGCTGTTGTTTACTGTAAACCCCTCTGCAGCCTTGGGCTAATGGCAGCTGTAGTACATTGGTGGTGATACCCAGAAACGGCAGAATCCAGCACAGTAATGGAGGCAAATGAACATCGGCAGTGTCTTCCTCCATAGCAGAAACTTCCATGTCCTTCAAAGCAGAAGTGGTCCCAGCAGAATATGATGACAGGGCAGAGATGAGAGAGCAGGGCTAATCTGAGAATGGGACTGTGGTTTACAGTCACAGCATGTGGCTTCATGTGGTGCCTACAGGAAGCGTGAGCTTGTCCTGCCTGTAGAGCCTGGGGAAAACGGGAGAAATACAAATCCAATCAGGGGAGCAACTATGCCCAGTGGGAATTTACTTCAAGAGTAAAACACTCTCTGGGGACTCCTGGAACTACTTGGGTGAGGTGTATGCTTTGCAAGAGGGTTAGGTCCTGTGTAATGCTTGTGAGGGCGCAAGGCAGTGAGATTCCAGCCATTAATGTTAATGCGATCTCATTTGCTTCCATCAGCTTGTGTGGCCTGGGGAAACTTTGGTTCTATTGTGTGTAATGGGGAGCTTCTGCTGACTTTTAAAAGAGGAGTGATGTAATGAAAGTAATGTTTTAGAAAGATTAAATTCAAATTTATGGGGAAAGTGAAATGACTTTAGCAGTAGGAAAACATTAGTTACATTGCTTTAAAAATTGAGAAAATTTCACTGTAGGTTTTAAACAAAGCTATCCCATTTAACATACTGATTTACATACATACCTCAAAGAAAAAAAATGCCCCAAACTTCGAAATAACTCACATGTGTTTCAAAATTATGGTCCTCAAAATTTCTTTAGCTTGAAGCAAGGCTAACATCACTTGATTTTTAGTTTGTGCTGCCTAACACCTCTGAATAATTATTAACCTCTTATTTTCAGGTATATTTTCATCTTCATATTCCCTGAGTTGATTCTGAATCTGTTTATGTAAAATTTAAAAGGCTTCTCTATGGGCTATATAAGTAGAGGACAAAAAACATTGACATGGCCCCCCTCTGTTTGGATAATACAAAACAAAATGATTAATGACTAAATTATTTAATCATGCCTAAATACTTCTGTATAACTATCGTACATAAGTTACTAATGCTCTCATTTTCTCATGCTCATCGTACATAAAATTAGAAGGACTAGATATTCACTCTGTCCTTTTCCACCTTTAAATTATGTGATTTTATAGAAATAACTATATAGTTGCTCAAAAAATAGCTTTATCTTCTCATGTTGACTAAATCTTCATTGACATTTCTCTTGGTCAAGATTGAAAAGATTCAGAATTTTAATTTAATCTAAGCAAAATTATACTCTCCCTTCAAATTGGCAGACACCAGCCTTAGCTCTTGGAAAACAGAGCAGGAAGAGGGTAAGGAGGAGTAACTTCCACTTAAATGAAAGCGTCACTAAGAAAAATATAAGTGTTTTCTGAGGAAAATTCATCTGCTCAGAAAGGCACAGCCTCTGCTGCTACACATACTTAACATAATTTATATTATTAAAATTACTATATAAATATATGCACGTAACAAATATGTGTATATAACACACATACACAAAGAAAAGAAGTAGAGAAGAAAATAAGAAGTGGTTTAATTAAACTCAAAAGTTTTTGATAATTAGATCATTTATTTTATTATACTATATTAGAGTAACAATGTAGTTTATTCCTAATCTTTCTTTACATATTCATATATGTAGAACACAGCTAATGGACCATATTTTACTACTTAGTATAATTTCTATCAGGAATTGTGTGAGCTATTATATATTACATTTGAATATAGATGAGATAAAATATTCAAGCAAATAGTATCTGTACTGTAGTACTGAGAATGCAAAGCAAATGTGTTGAATAGAATCTTCTGCGAAGTTCCACATTCAATACAAAGTTGAAAGATCAGTTTGTTTCATCCAATAGCAATTATTTCTCTTTTTAAAATATTAACAAGACTTTCATTCTTAATTTAGACAAAGCAATGAAAAATTAAGAGCACAGAAATATTAATTCAAAATATTTATGTACAATTATTCTTTCCTCAAATACAAAAATCAAACCTAATCAGCAGAGGATTGTACAGAATCTCAGAGCATAATTTTTTTAAATAAGAAAGGAAGAAAAGGGAAAAGGAAAGAAAAAAATGAGCAATTATGAAAGATGTGTCTATGAAGAAACATCACAGAGTGGTGGTATAAAAGAGACAATTTAACGACAGCTTAAATAGGTGATAGCATTTACTAAATGAAGAAAAAAATTTTGAAGTGATTTCCTATAATTTAAGGTAATGAAGAAAAGGAAGCAAAAGAGTACAGTACTGATATTTAATGAAATCCACTAGAGACTTGGCTTTGTTTATTTAACCTTCACAACTACCTTATGCTGTCAGTTCTATATTTACATTTAAAATGAAATACAATAGAAAATTATACGTGATAAAAATTCTAGAGAACAACACCTTAGGACCAGGGAGAGACACAGATACATGTGGACATAAGTAAAGAGCAAATTGCTTATAAATGGTTGAAAGGAATCAAAATCATAGGTAAGATATTTTTTCTCCTATAATATTAAGAAGTGTTATAGACAACTAAAAGCAAGCAAAGAGGACAATGTTATAAAAAGATTTTTTGAAACAACACTAAGCTATTACTAAAGAGAGAAAATAATTAAATATCTGGAAAAAGATCATTCAATGGAAAGAGCGGTATTAATTTCTTCTTAATGTTTTATATGCTCTTTTATTATTTCCTCTTTCTTTATTAAAGATAATCTCTAGTCCTCTGGATAATTAAAGGAAAATCAATGCCCACGTGGGAGCCAATAAACCAGATGCAGAGTGTCATGGAATTTAAAAAGAAAACAGAAATTTGAAGAACCACTTCAAAAACCTTTAAACAATATTAATGAAGCAAATGGTTAGAGGCAATTATATCAACAATAGTGGAAGCAGGAACGTAGACACAGCAAAGTTTATATGGAACACAGTGCTTATATTACCTACACACACACAAAGAAAAGAAGTAGAGGATAAAATAATTTAACTCAAATTTTTTTCTGATAATTAGATCATTTATTTTATTACACTATATTAGAGTAACAATCTAGTTTATTCTTAATATTTCTTTATTGATAGTGAAATTATTTTCTTTTTTATGTTATAAATTGATTTTTATTTATTCTATGGCAAATATTCTGTAAAGCACATAAGCAAAATGTCTATATTTTAATCAGATTAGGCTAGATTGTGCCATGGCAACAAAAAAAATTCCTGAATCTCAGGGGCTTGAAATAAACAAATAAAAAACGGTTATTTTTCTCACTCAGGCAATATTACCAATTGTGAGTTGTTGCATTAGTCTGCTTAGACTACCAGAGCAAAATACCACTTGCTGGGTAGCTTAAACAACAGATACTTATTTTCCCACAGTTCTGGAAGCTCCAAATCCAAGATATTTTCAGAGTTTGTTTCTGGGAGGACCTCTTATTTGGATTTATAAACAGCTGACTTCTCATCCTGTCCTTACATGTATGGCCTTTCTTCTGCACAGAGAGACCCTCAGAGAGTGATCTGATCTAGTGTCTCTTCCTTGTCTAAACTAGTACTATCAGATGAGAGTAGCACCTTCATGACCTAATTGAATTATTATTATCTCTCTATATGTCTAATATCCAAATACAGTCACTTTGGGTGTTAAGACTTCAACACATGGATTTTGGGGAGATGTAATTCAGACATAATAGCAGTAAAATTAGAACAAGGTTACTATTCATAACAGTTGCTGTGAAAGTCACATAACCATAAGTAACTTCAAAGGAAAAGATGCAATCCTATCTATCATGATCCTGAAAAGAGGAAAACTGGAATATTGATCAATATCTCAAATGCCTATTACAACATGTATAATGTTCTATTGCATTATTGTTTTTATAAGTATTCAACAATGCCCTGATCATTATTTTCCCATTATAAATTCCACACAAAAATTCTTAGAAATGAAATAGATATATTAAACAATTTAGAACATTTTAAGCCTTTTATTGTGTATCGACAATTTTCCTCCTGAAAAATTCTGTGGAATAATCCCAAATCCTTAAATTTTTGCAAACATTATGCATTATTATTTAAGAAGAAGAGGAGGAGGACAAGAAGAAAGGAGAAAACGTTTGCCAAGCATAGTGTTAAAAATATCATTTAATTGTTTTCATAAACTTAAAAAATGTTATTACTATACAGGCTTATTATTATCTTTTTGCTTACATATATTTTTGATGATTGGAAAATTTAGTCACTATTTGGTTAATTTTTTTTTCTCAGAGAAACATTTGTCATTCAGTAATAGATGGTTTACCTATCCTAAATTATTGATTACTTTGTAAAGGACTCTAAATTCTAATTATATATGAAATACTTTACACACATACTGGCCAAAAATTCCATATAAGGAATTGATATTTAGAAAGACCTTATCTTGACAAGAATCTCAAAGATCAAAGTTAAAAAGTAGATGTAACTTTGCCTTTCGTTGAGGCTATTTTTATCATAAAGACAGGAACTCACATGCCACATCTGAAACAGCATATCTGTTTCAGATATGACCACTTTTTTCCAAGAATCATATTAGAATCTGACAGCTGAATAAAACTTCTCTGATCTTCACCATTGCCTCTTTATCTCTTTATCTCACCAGAGATCTGAATTAAAGGTTAGTGGCCACTGAAGAAGATACAAGTCCATTGAATCCACTGAGTGCTGAACTTCCTCCTGGCCCTCCTGAGCCTGGTAGTCTTCAGCTGGATGTGAGCTCTTGCCTCAAGCTATTTACACCATGATCAGGCTAGTAATTAGCAAAATGTTTAATATAATATAGAAGCAATTAGGAGGTGATAACATGCAATTAAGATGTGTTTTCAGATTAAAGATTTTATAGTGCTCTTTTTCTTGAAAAGATAAAGTGCCTATCTCAAAATGTCAAACTGCAGTGATTTAATCTGAATTATTTTCAATTAATATGCATGTATGCTAGTGATGTGTTCACCGTTGTTATTGACATTGATAAATTAAGCTCATCCCAGCTGAATTTATCCTTGATTCACTCTATATTTCCTGAATGTCAGCTCTTCATTCGTTTTCTTTTTTTTTTTTTATTTTGCCTACAAGCTGTGCGAGATCTAACTCTAAGTCCCTTGATTCATCCCTGGGATTACAGTGATGTGTCAGTCTAGAGGAACAATAATCTGAAAGGGCATTGTTATAAATAGAGTGTTAGAATATAATTGTTTGTCATGTCATTTCTCCCCTTTAAATTCCCTTGAGTCCTGTTGAAGTAATTTAGACAGCTAAGATGACAAGAGTCTTGAGACTGTACTTATAGAGTTGTCCAACACATCTTTAGCCTATTCTGCCTTTTGAGACCATCTCATCTATAAAGTAGGAAATGCAAACATCAAATGAGTTTTGACTATAGCGTGAGTTTAATTTGAGAGTTTACACAGGCCGTTCTCTGTTGGAACGATGGCTATTAAATGGCATTTAAAATTAATAAAGAAATAGTCACAGCAGCTATTGAAGACAACGTAGGGAAATTAAATATTTAGTATGTGGGGT